CTGTGTTTGGCAAAAGACAGGCAGACAAAGAGAAGCCACATGAGTGAGAGAAACAGCATTCAGCCGTACATGTACAACTCAGATACAGACCAAGCAGAGGCTACAAAATCATTTGTGTCTTTGTATAGTTTTACAGCCAAATGATACAGGAAACTCCTAGTTTAAAGTTCCGAGCTTGTATATTGAGACTAATAACCACACACACTGAATTAACTTTGTCTGAGGCACCAGATGCTCCGCTCAGAGGTGCGACACAACACCAGACACGCACATTCGCATGTTATTTAATATCAAACTATTCAGATGGCGCTCTTTGGCGTGGCGTAAATATGAAGTGTCCCGAATCGTGGCTGAGTGCCGCGGACAGCCACCAGCTGGAAGCGCTGTTGTGTTTAGTTAAGATCACAGGTGGCTTCTGTGACTGCAGAAATAACGACTGAAGTTTGAGGTAGATGCAATGAAAAGTACAAGTTTGCAAACCTACTGTACCTACAAACAAACTAACTTACAAACAATAATTCCGATTAAAGCGATCATGTGGTGAATGTTGATCTTGTGTTGAGCCCAATGAGCCTTACATATAAAAATAGAGCAAGGGTGTTCCTTTAGTGTCATAGCTTTGACTCTCACGCTGAAAATGGCGGACAAGAAACAACAAACTGAAGGTATGGTGAAGCGCAGCTGTCAATCAATACTGATGGGCAGAGGGACCAAGTTGCGGTCGATGTAAAAACAGCTATAATTGGTCCACCGTTTTTATGTTGTTAAATTGAAAAAAAGGACTGTGTGTGTTTATATCACCCCGATATGACGGTCTATAAACTCTACCTACACTCGTCTGTCCAAACAGCTTGAAGTAGATTTTTCACAGTAGGTGCCCTTTAAAGTACGTTTTATATTGGACTAAGTGAAAAAATATGGTTTTTGCCTTAATAAAAAACAAACAAATAGAAAAATTTAAAAGCATTACTTCACCTCAAAAGAGTAAACCAGAAACGTCACCTAAGTCAAAACTATAATTGGGGAGACATTTATAAATTTAGCTGCAACAAATGACAGGAGATTACTAAGATTGGTTCAAAGCAAAAATATTTTTTGATGTAAGGTTTAAAATAAAAATAAAAAACTTAAATAAATATAAATCTACCTTGAACCAAAGACAAAATTATAATTAATGAAAAATATTTTTACTTTGTGTTAATGAAATTTGTTTTCCTGACCACATCAAATATATTTAATTTAGATTAATTACACTTTAAAGTTTGAACCAAAGCTGAATGATACTTTGAGAAAATCTAAAGATTTTAGCAGTAACATATTACAATATATTTTTTTTAAGTACACATGAAATCAAAACTAGCCATATTGGTTTTGTAAGCTCTTTTAGTATGCCCCAAAATTTTAGTATGTAAAATGTTTCAGCATGCCAAAAAGATTTTAGTATGGTTTGTGTTTATGCAAGTGAGAAAAGTGTGATCCTAATCAACAAGAGAAGGCATCAATATTGGAGCATACACCATACTAATCAAGCAACTGTTTATTGCTGGTTTATTGCACGCAGCTAATATCAATAATCTCAATAATAATCAAAAATCATTAATTAAATTAAATTATTTAAAGATGAGTAATAATGATTACATGAATAAAAGAGATAATGAAACCCCAAGCAATTCGATATAAGTTAATACAACTTCAGAGACATACCATCATTTTCTTCTTCAAAGATTGGGGAGCCCGTAGCAGTCACATTGGAAAACCAACACTTGTGTCCGAGAATGCCAGGCGATGTGCACTTATCTCACAGCTGAGCTTCTAATTTTTTAGCAAGAAAGCCTCACATTTATAGCCGAAATTTGGGTGCTGGCCAAAGGTCGGCCTATGAGTTAAGAGAGAAGAATGAGCCCGCTCTCTTTCTCAACTAGCTGTATATTATTTTTGATTGCACAAATTTATGGTTAGTAGATTTAGCATGATTATCATAGAGTCAATATTCTACCTCCTAAAATTTGGAGAAGGTTAATCTTAAGGTCATGAGACCATTCTCTGATCATTTGGTCATGCTTGAGGGTCAATATTTTCCCTCTTGAAACTTCGAGAAATATGAAAAGTTAACCTTAACCTTTTAACTGCCTCACCAATAAAAAAAAATTGGATAGCATTTCTTAACTCCTAATGTTGCTAATAACACATTCTCAATGCATTTTTTAACACATCCCATAATTTCTAAAATATCAACTTCTACCAAATGGTTGATATGTTGTTTATGGTAAAAGTAGTGGAATTAATGCATATACTATGCATATCTGAAAAATATAAAGTGTTAGCTCAATTTACTTTTAAAAAATATTCAAAATAAAACATTTTTAAATACTAAGAGGCCCTATCATACACCTGGCGCAAGGTGCGACGCAATTGTTGTTTGCTAGTTTCAGCTTGGCGCAAGAGTCGTTTTGACATTTTGCGCCACGCTGTTTAAATAGCAAATGCATTTGCGCTCATATGTGCCGCACATAGGCATTCTAGTCTAAAAAAGGAGGAATATTGAGGCACACTGCTGGTGCATTGCTATATTGAGAAACTGTAATAGACTGTTCTATAGACCAGAACAAAGCCAGTCCAACGCAAAGTGCGTTAGTTGTGCACCTCACTTACACATTGCTTAATACAGACAGGATGTACAGCAATACGCAAATATCTTTACTTATGAAAAATAATTAAAATATTAAGGATATATATAGGATACAATAAGGATATATATAGGATATAAATATAAAGGATTAAAATATGACAAACATGTTATTTTCTAGCATACATAAATATAAAAACCATACCTTTATGCCTTCTTCTTCTCTGGTGGCTTTTTCCGTTTATTCATAACAATTTGCTTTTGCATAATGTTATTATTATTAGCAGTATTATTTTTTATATCCATATTTATATTTGTTTTATTAAAAACAAGCTTAGATTTGCCCCCCTGTCAGGTTTTAGACCACAGCATGTGTATTAAGATATAACTTAGTTTTTTTAACACATTTTGTTATTATTGTTCATTTATTTGTTTGCTGGAAATTAGAACTGAATTTATAAATAGTTTTGAAAAAAATCTTTGCGCTTAACAAACAAAATTAATTATTTATTGGCTAATGGATGTCTGTGCGTACAAGAAGTTTCCCTATCCACGATGAGGAGGCTCATCTCTCATTCTCATGCTGTAGATGCTCTGTTTAACTGTTTTCCGTTTTTCCACTTACAAAGTCCATCATGTAAATAGCAAATGCGCTATAACGCGACGCAGCTGACTTAAAGAGAATGGGAAATGAGACTCTGATTGGTTTATTCTCAAAACACACCTATAACTCATTAAGAAAATAAGCTCAACCCTTTTAGACCATGTGCCACAGCGCAAAGTGGATTTTTTAAAATCCTTAAAATAGTAAAAGTGGATTCTGACACGCCCTTAATGCTTTTGCACCCTGCGCTTTGCACTTTGCGTATGGATCGTCAAAATCGAGCCCTAAATAATCTTTAATTTTTGGACTATGCCATAAAATATTTTTAGGTTCTCATTTACAAGCTTTCTGTTTTTTTCTTTTCTTTTTTTTCTCAGTAAAACCAAAATCAAGTATAGTAGTGCAACAGGATTATGTTTGTTTGATTTTCTTGTAAGCCAACAATGCTGAATGTGTAAACCATTATTTAAAACAGTCAGTCTTCGAATGATTTTAACATTCATTATTTAAAACACTTAACACATGGTCAAATGTTTAGTAGAGCGGACAGTCAAATGGTTAAGGCCATGAAACACCTCTCTGGTTGTTAGCTAGCTCTCTACAACTCACATGGTTATCCACTGAAGCTAAGCAGGGCTGCGCCTGATCAGTACCTGGATTGGGGACCACATGGGAAACTAGGATACTGCAGGAAGTGGTGCTAGTGAGGCCAGCAGGGGTCCTATTTCCCCATGAGTGCCGTCTTTCAGATGAGACGTTAAACCGAGGTCCTGACTCTCTGTGGTCGTTAAAAATCTTAGGATCTCCTTCGAAAAGAGTAGGGATTTAACCCTGGCATCCTGGCCAAGTTTGCCCACTGACCTCTGTCCATCATGGCCTCCTAGCAATCCCCATATCATAATTGGCTTCATCACTCTGTCTCCTCTTCACCAATCAGCTGGTGTGTGGTCTGGTGCAATATGGCTGCCATCGCGTCATTCAGGTGGATGCTGCACACTGGTAGTGGATGAGGCGATTTCCCAATGTGTAAAGCACTTTGAGTGCCGAGAAAAGCACTATATAAATGTAAGAAATTATTATTTTAATTATTATTTGGTCATTCGTGGCATTGGGCATGGCTAACATACTTAACCACGCCCCTCCAACTTTCAGCTTTGACTGATATCACAATAAACAGAAAAAGTGAGGAGGAAATGCCTGCTTTACTACATCCAATTAGCTTGCAGTGGAAAAAACAAGCCTGTTTTATCATTAAGTATTTAGTTTCTCTAGGAACTGTGTCAAAATACAAAAAAAAAAAAAAAAAGAAATTGCAGTTTGTGGTTAATTCTAAAGTGTAACTTTTTAAGGTGGATTTTAAATAAATTGGATGAGGAACAAAGTATTTAAATTGTGTTCCTTATACCGACCTTTATGGTAATATTTGATTAATTTCACTTACTATATATAAAATGACTCAGTCAAGAGCACTAAGTGGATCTTTTCTTTTTAATATGGTTAATTGAGTTGATAATAACCTCAGACTTGTGCGCATTTTTATAACTTTATACCCGTTTATGGGTTTGCCCATCGTCCCACAAGCAGATCTTCCTTTGACACCCCTGTTCAAGAGCTTTCTGTAATCCCATTAGACCTCAACCAATGGATTTGTTAATGTGTTTGCTGTACTCCTGTTACATATTGAATTAATCTGATACTGTGCCAGGTACATCAAAGCCCTGTTGTAAATCGTAAGAGGATTTATGATGATTTATGAACTCTCTGTGACAGCTGTAATGTGAAGAACCTGCAGAGGCGGCACGTGTGTATCTCACGTCTGGATCGGCCGCAGAACTGGGGGGAAAACTGCGCTGAGGTCCGTTACGTCATCCTCATCCTGGCACCTTCAAAGATGGTAATGGCCTCATTAATGTGCATAAAATGTATCGGGTGTGAGGACATTAGCTCAGGTTTATGTGAAAGAAATGGCTTTAATTGCAAATATTTGCTTAGTGTAAGATCTGGAGGGAAAAGATGTTACACAAAAGTGTGTATGAAATAGTTTCAGTTGCTTTTAAAGGTGTTTTTAATATACATTAACCTGAACAAAACGTATTTATTATAGAGTTAGGAGTAGGGTTTAGTTTAAGATTAAATACATGTAATTAGTCTTAATTTACTATATGTGTAACATGAACACTGTAAATTTTAAGGGTGTTAAATAATTGAATATTAATTAATGAAATTTATGTTGTTTGTTCTGTTTTCTAAAGACTCTTTAGAATGTATTGTTTTATTGTTATTTGCAGAATCTGTTTGAATAATTTTGAGGTTATATTATATTATATTATATTATATTATATTATATTATATTATATTATATTATATTATATTATATTATATTATATATTATGGCGACGCAGTGGCGCAGTAGGTAGTGCTGTCTCCTCAAAGCAAGACAGCAAGAAGGTCGCTGGTTCGAGCCTCGGCTGGGTCAGATGGCTTTTCTGTGTAGAGTTTGCTTTCGCATGGATTTCCTTCGGTGCTCCAGTTTCCTCCACAGTTTAAAGACATGTGATGGTGAATTGGATGTTCCTCAGAGATGGGTTGCAGCTGGAAGGGCATCCGCTGCTTAAAACGTGCTGTATAAGTTGGCGGTTTATTCCACTGTGGCAACCCTGGATTAATTAAGGGACTAAGCTAAAAAGAAAATGAATAATAAAAATAAAAAGTTAAGTTAGGTTAAGTTATATTATATTATATTATATTATATTATATTATATTATATTATATTATATTATATTATATTGTATTATATTAAAATGTATTATATTATATATTTAAATAAAGCATAGATTATAACCAAATTATATTTTATTGTAACTAAAAATATTAATTTAAATAGCATGTTAATTTAGAAAAGAACATCGTTTTATCATGTTACACTTTTTTCACACAGTGTAAATGAATGTTTAGAATATATGTATGTATGTATATTCTAAACAATGGAGTGATAGTAAAATTGATAAATTAAAATAAGATTAATTTGCATTGTTTTTTTTTAACCTCATTTGACAACTTAATAATTGATTAATGTAATAATTGACTAATCAAACAGTTAATTTGTTTTTTTTAAGACACACAAACTAATTTCGTCCTCATATATAGGTTAATTGTTGTATTGCTTCAGCTGTCAGTGACTACGTTTACATGGACATCAGTAATCAAATTATTTGCATTCATTTGAATAAGATGATAATATGATTAAGGTGTTTACATTAAGGTGTTTGTGAATATTCCTTTCATGATCCCGTTTTACATGGTATAGCACATAATTCGATTAACGTCATTGCGTCACCACGCTATCCACATTACCTATGAAGTTTTATGTCATTTTGGATGTTTCATTTTTAATTTATCGACTTTAACTGCAGTTTGCCACTTTAACTTTCATTCAGGATTGTGGTGTTTACATGTCTATACTGCACTTCAATAATATGAATAAAATTGACATACTCCACATGTCTTAATTCCATTTATGTTTAGTTCCATTATGACTTTAGTCGGATTAAGGTCATTGCTGTTTACATGGTAGACTCTTAATCAGAGTATTGTCTTAATCATCATATTAAAATCAGATTATGGGTGTCCATGTAAACATACTCAGTAAGATCAACTGGATAACACAAAAATACTGAAAACACACACCTTCACTCATAACCCAACAGGCTAAACCCAGCAACAAACTGTCTATGCACTTTGAAAAATATGGAAATGGTTTATCAGAGTCTTGCAGGGCAAAACTTGAGTAAAAAGTCAGTGTTTGTTCTGTTTAAATGCTTTGATATATATAGAGGCATCTGAAATATTAATGCGATATTATTCAAGGCAGGCTCAGACACACTAATACCATCATATTTAAGTCTTAAAGTCCTGGTCCTGTGTTTTTCGCTCCCCTTCCAGTCTAACCGTAAAGGCTTTGGGGCCCTCGGCTCCATCCAAGACTATTCTGTGTATCTCTTTGTGTCTGTGTTTACATCATAAATCTGTGTGTTTGTGTGTATGTGTTTACATCTGTTTACATCTAATCACTCTCTTTCTCTCTCTCAATTCTCTCTCTCGCTCTCTCTCTTTCTCTGTCCTCTGTAGTTCACCATGCAATATAGATAACTTTTTTTGCTTGGTAATTCTGAGCTTTTAAAAAGAAAGAAATGGCCTCACACACAAACAAGCATCTTCTCATTTCATTAAAAGCTGGATTGTCATACAGGCACGTGCAGATACTCTTGATCCTCTTTTCTTGCCATGTGTTCAAAACAAGAGAATGACATGAACGTTATGTAACTTAAATGGATATAAAACCTAAGATGATAAAGCAAAAATCATGAATGTCAAGGACAGGGCAAACATGGACCATGTAAAAAAATTATTAAAAAATACAGATTATTTGAGGACATTTTGCCATAGAATTCTTGAGTTAAAATGAAATAGACATTTAAATAGACTAATATCTGGAAACATTTAGAATTGTTTATGATTTTGAAAGAGGGCTTTTCTGCTCACTAAGATTTATTGGAGCAAAATGCAATGCAGCGGTAATATTGTCCAATACTTTTGAAAGTAAACCTAATTTTAAACAAAAGGAATATGTGTCTTCAGTGTCAAATAATCCTCCATAAATTAGTAATAAGACTATTATTTTAGTCTTAAAAATCTGCATGTACTTTTAATAAACAGAATATTGTTGTGTTTGTACTCCTACATTTTTCATTGCTATCATCAGTATAATTCTCATTCACAGACCTTAATATCCATAAATAATTAATGACCACCAAATATAACAGGCTTCATGTTTGATCTGTGTTTTTTCAGAAAAGCACTAAGACAGCGATGGAGCTGGGCAGGACGTTTGCCAGCATGTTCTCCGACATCTCCTTCAGACAGAAGCTGCTAGAGAGTAAAACTCAAGAGGAGTTCAAAGAGGCGCTGGTCATCCAGAGGTACCACCTGACTGCTGCCAAGCGTAAAACCACGGCTGTGGAGGGCGAAGAGACAGACCCACACAGTCAAAAACCACTGAAGGTGTGTGCGCATCGCAGCGTGAGCAGCGATGCTTGAGGTTCACTTGTAAAGGTCTTGAAGGGATAGTGCATCCAAAAATGAAAACTGAGGCAATAATGGCACTGGTGCTTTGTTCCAATACCATATGCTTTTATATTTTTTAAGGGAGACATTTTAATTTGAAGTCCATTAATTAGCAGTGAACAGTGGCCAGCATCAAACCTTTTTTTATAGATGAATTTAAAAAAATTCATTTAACTTATTTAAGAAGAGTTTTAAAAAGTTACTGTCTTTCCAGGATTTTATAAAATAACAAATTAGATTTTTGTGACTAAAAAGACTGATTTTGAGGCAAGTTTTTTCAAATTGTGTGGCATTTCTTTTATAGTATTGCTGTAAAAAATACATAAATTTACACATTAATTTATTATTAATTTTTAACCTGAAGAATCGTTGATTTCTTCAATTTACATAAATGAAACGCAGAGAAAAGTCAAGATACACAGTAAAAAGTATCTGTTAATTAACAGTTTCTATATTTTGTGAATTCACAAGTGTTTTCTCTTTATTTATTGAAGTTTCGGTTTGTATTGGTATTGCAATTTACAGAATAATCTGATTGTTGTGATGGACGCAATAGGTTTACATAGTTAGAATAAAATTTAGATTGCATTTTTTATTCTTGTGAGCTGGAGTGAACTGTGGCTAATCAACATATATAATGAATTAACTGTTATTTCTGGATTGATTATTAATAACCAACATATTACATTTATTTTAGAATAATAAACTGTTAGCATTAGGGGAAAAGAGCACTTTTTTTAAAGTATAAAAAAGTACAAACAAAAAATCATATACAATGTTTGTAAAACAAAGATATAAATAGAAGTAAAGGCGAGGAAAAAAAAATATTTTTATTGGATTTATTAGCCCCCCTAATAAATTTGTATACTTTTCCAAATATTTGCCAAATACTTTCACTGTTTGCTAGTATATGTTTTTTTCTGGGGAAAGTCATATTTCTTTTTTATTTATTTGTTTGCCAGAATAAAAACATTTTTTAACTTAAAAAAAAAACCTAATTTATAAGGTCAAAATTATTAACCACACAAATTTTATTTAATTCATTCATTCATTCATTTATTCAATCATTCTTTCGTTCATTTCTTTATTCGTTCCTTCCTTCGTTCGTTTGCTCATTCATTCATTCATTCATTCATTCATCTTCAAAACAAACCATTACTATCAAATGACTTGTCTAATGTCTAATAACCCTAACTTGCCTAGTTAACCTAATTAAACTCGTTAAGTCTTTAAATTGGTGGTTGGAGCCCCGGTTGGGTGAGTTGGCATTTCTGTGTGGAGTTTGCATGTTCTCCCCGTGTTCGCGTGGGTTTCCCCTGGGTGCTCTTGTTTCTCACACAGTTCAAAAACATGCGCTATAGGTGAATTGAATAAGCTAAATTGGCCGAAATGTTTATGGGTGTTTCCCAGTACTGGGTTGCGGCTGGAAGGGCATCCGCTGCATAAAACGTATGCTGGATAAGTTGGCGGTTCATTCCTCTGTGGAGACCCCTGATTAATAAAGTGACTAAACCAAAAGAAAACGAATGAAGGAATGAAGTCTTTATGATGCACTTTAAGCTGAAAACCAGTATCTTGCAAAATAACTGAGAGGAGTCTGTCTGCAGACCTGGTGCAGTGCAATCTGAGCTGCATCCAATGCTTTTTAATGCGCTCACATAACCCCACCTCTAACCCTACCCGTCACAGTGACGTCACTCACTCCATTGATTGCATTGTGTCTGACATTGCATCGCTGAGTGATGCAATCTCAGCTTGCATCATAAAGGCTGCATCCAGATACTATTGATATAACTAGTAAAACATTATGTATTGTCATCATAGCAAAGAAGTTATTATTAGTTCTTAGAAATGTATTACTAAAATTATGTTTTAAAATATATTTAAAAAAATTTCTCTCTGTAAACCTGCAATTTAGGAAATATTTGAAAAAGAATTCAAAATGTCACAGGAGTGCTTATAATATAAGCCCTTTTCCACATACAGACCTTTTCGGAAAATTACAGGCAGTTTTCTGGACAGGTCTGTATGTGTGAACAGGCCCTTTTTGAAAATATTGGTAAATTAGTTCTGGCAGTTTTCGGAAAGAGTAGTTGTAACATAATTAGTAATTTGTTAGAATGCTGTGCTGTGCTGAACGCAGAAGGAAAATTGCCGGAAAGAGCGTGTTTACGTTTACAACACGCTGACGTAAGACGTCTACTCTAGCCAATCAGAACATTCAGCCGCATTCACATCTGCGCTTTTATTTTTTATGAAAATATTTTTCCAGGCACATTTTGCTGCTAGATGTTAGCCAGATAATGTTTCTTTGTTCATTATTAATGCTAACTGTGTAAAAAGTTATAGATAAAATGCTTATGATAAGCCGTTGTTTGTTTACCTTTAAGTTCTGCTTCCTTCAGTTGCTTGACGCGTGTGCACACACATATATTCTGAACATCTCGACATGCGAAAGTGTTCCTCTATATGTTTTCATTGTTGTTCACAGTACTTATCTATCCACAGAGTTTGTAATGTTGTCAAATGTTTACAAATACAAGTGCAGCTGTTTAGAGGTCATTTCTGGTTTATGATGTCAGAATTTACCGGTATTTTGGGATGGATGTATGAATGGTCTTTTCCTGAAAAATTCCGTACAGTCCTTTGAACAGCACTTTTTTTGAATATACCTGTAAAATCATTCTAGAATTTTTTTATGTACCGGTATCACTGTGAGAAAGGGGCTATTGTCTACAACTGTTTTAAAAGTACACCGAAAAAACGGTGGCTGTAAAATTAGGTTTTAATTTAATTACGTTCTATTTTTGTAATTAATAAGTAATACATCAAATACACACAGCTGCTTTACTGCCCTCCATTGTAAAATGAATGGCTAAAGCTTTATCACTTGTTTTTTGTCAGATAGCGGAAAGCCAGCTAACAGTCAAGGTCAGGATTTTTTTTGAGTAATGCATTTTTTTTTTCCACCAAACCACTGTTTGAATGGAATCATTCTTTCATACATTTGCATCTCTTTAAACGCTTAATCCTGGCCTTTATACAGACTTTGTGGTCTGAAAAAATGAAGAGCATATACCATTGGAACAATACCAACGTGATTAAATAACATCGGAATTTTCATTTTTGTGTGAATCATCCCTTTATCGTGATTGTTTGCATCTCTTCTGTCTTCAGCCCTCGTCCGCCAATCTCTCTCTCTCTCTTTCTTTTTCCCCTTCGCCCTTTGCTGTTTGACTTTCACTCCAGTGATTAAGTTCTACTGAGCATGTAGCAGCTAATGAGAATTTATCTTGTTTGTTACTCCGCTTTGACGCACACACACAAACGTCCCATTCGGCATATGTGAGCATTAGACCACCCTGGCTGAGGTTAGCCGCCTGTAAAAGCCCTCTGTTTTCTTCTCCGTAAAGACAACAGCGGCGGCCCAAATAGTTGTGTGTGTTTTTTTGGTTTTGTTTTTTTGCATTTTTCACTCCATCACACATCTGAGGAATGGTAACCAGGTGGAGAGGATCATTGCTAAGTGTGTGTGTGTGTGTGTGTGTGTGTGGGTGTGAGGTCTGTGTGTACCTTGTATTCATCACATTGAGAGCACCAAGTGTTCTCATTATACAAATATAGAAATAATATAGCATTTATACTGTATATAATAATGTAAAATAATATATTATCACTGAAAAAACACTTTCAAGCAGTACTTCATTCAATTAAAAAAATGGATCTTTCATTTCAGTTTATTATTATTTGTTTTATTTTTCAATTAATATATTTTAAGTAAAAAAAATAGGTAAATATCAATGTTTTTGATTAATAGCGCAACTAAGAAATATTTATTTAAACCATTGTACAATTTTCTGGTGATTCACATGAAAGCTCAATATGCTTTGTACTTTCATGGACTTAAAAAAATATATTGTTTAAGGCAAAAAAAATTATTTTTCATTGCCTTGAGTGATTATAATTTAGGTGTAAAACCATTACCCTAATTGTTTTAATTAGATGAATGAACATTTTACGGGAATTGTTGTTTTGAACCTAAAGAGAATTTAAATTAATTGACTTTCTTCAACAAGACAAACATGCTTTGTACCAGGTTTAAAAAAAAATGTTCTCATGGAGAACAAATATTGTTTAAGGCAAATTATTTATTTTTCATTGGGTCAAGTGATAAAATTTAGACAACATAGACTCATTCTGAAAATGAGACATACGTTTCTGGAGATCACGAATTATGTAGTCAGGGCTTTGTATCTCTACATTGCATCTTTAAAACGAATGCTACGAATGCTGACCGCTTACTTCCATGTGGATGGTTTTTGCTCACCATGTACATCATTGGACTTAAGATGCAGAGAGCTGTTGACCACAACGATAGGGTTTGAGTCCAGTGAAGAACACTTTCAGGAAGCGGGTAACCCAAAAATAGTAAATAACTGGGTCAGGATGTGGTAAAATCTGAAAAGTGGTAAAAATCAGACGAGGGCTTTTCTTTTTAGGGATTATTTTTTAAAATTGTTGTTTTGGTTTAGGGAAGTGGTTTATTGGGTTAATCAGTGCTTTTGAAAACACTGTTGGTTGGGTTTAGGGAAGGAGGAGGTTGGGGGGATTGGTTGGTCAGTCAGTCACTTAGTCAGTCAAACAGTCAGTTGACAGCGGCCTCTGGTTGATTTAAGCAAGAAGAACAGGCTTAAATGGCACTCATGAGGGAAATTTTAGATCTCAAATGCATACACAACGGCCTGGTGAATTTGTGAAAATAAAAAATGTAGCTCCTGGGACGTATTTGCGGCTTTCTAGAAATGTATATAGAGGTACGTTTTCAGAATGAGTCTGAGTTGAATTTAGATGTGAACATTTACACCTGCCAAATGCGGG